GAACGAAGCTATTTGGGTCATCAGGCGACAAAACCGCATCACCCTTGCCCGCGGACTAATACCAAGAACGCTTCGCTGGCCGACCAACTTTACCAGGCCTGAAAATACTACAATCCACGGGTGTTTCGGCAAATACGAAACTATTTGCTTATCTATAACGATTACCGAGCAATGGAGAACCCTACCTACCCGACTAGATCCGCGTTGTTTGTTTATTTTTGTTTATGTTTTAGACTCGGGCTGGGTGTTAATGTCGCATACCTAATTTAAAAGGTCAATTAAGTTAGAGCGTAAAGTTGAAATATTCCCATAAAACTAACCATCCTACAAGAAAAGTATTGATGTCGTAACATAGGGCTGTCGTAACATAGGGCTGTCGTAACATAGGGCTGTCGTAACATAGGGCTGTCGTAACATAGGGCCGACCCCATCTAGGTAACTTACGAAATGTTAAGTTACAGGAGAGATGTACAGATCGATGAGGATTTTTAGCACTCATGAATAAAAAGCATTTTGCATTTATGCACTTTAATCATTCTTTTCATTTAACCCAGGAACCTCAGTTAAGCCTTTAATAGATTTGCCAAAAGACAGTTTCTCAAGCAACTGGATATAATTTATTTATTTATTTCTGTCTTCTTTATACAGGGTAGACGCACTCAGTACAATATACTGCTTACAGGCGTGCCCTGTACAGATAGGCATAAACACCAACAACAGTAAATAATATAACTAAAAGTAACATATATATACACAACCGAGCATCAAAATCGATGGATCAGGCTGGGTCGAGAAGTCAGAGGTCAGCAATGTTGTTTTATCAGCTTCTTGAAAGAGTGGCCAGATTTCGAAAAGGAAACATCCACTACCTTTTGCCAGTGACTATTTTCGGACAAAAAATGTGCATTTTGGCTCCTCTGCACTAATACGGAAACAAAATGACCTAAAATTCAGGGTAGCTTGACACTAGATGCTTAGACTATAGTATTCAGATTCAGTCCTTGAAATACTTATATTTACCTTACTTCGAGTAAAAGCAGGTTTTTTTTACTCGAAGTATTGTAAATAAAAGTATTTTGAGCGCGGGACAAATTCTAAATATCAAAATCATAAAACCAAAAAAAAAAATAGATGCATTTGTATTGGTGCCTGTGCCTGTATAAATGGATGCAATAAAGATGGTGGCCTTCAGAATTGAAATAACCCCTTTGAAAATTCTTTTCCATCTTTCAATATGTAAAAATAAACAAACAACAAAGAAACCTTTGACGTGTTCATATGATTGTCTCGATATTTCTTACTTTAGCTAAGGCAATTTTGCATTGAGTTTCAGGTCTCGCCTGGTGTAGGACGTGTTTTTTTCGCTTTCCAGAAACCAGCGGGAAAGTTCCATCATGCCGAGAAGACAGCAGCATCCCAAAACGTGTGACACGGGTAAATTGTTTTTGTAAACATTTTTTCTCCCAACGTTGTTCAGCATGTCAGCAGACAAGCTAAGCTGTATTTTTTACACAAGGAAATTGTTACTTAGTCAACTGGATACTTTTTTTTAAATCAGTGTAATTTGTAATGATTGGATTGTATCTGCGTTATTTTTTTTTTTGTGTATGTCAATTGAAAAATGCTCTCATTCTTGAAGATTGCAATTCAAAAATGTTGTATTTTGCCACTGTCGGCGCCATCTGAAATTTTGTAATTTTCCCCCAGACACCACGCCAACGGAGCAGCCACAGACTCATGACTGGAGGTCAACTGCTGACGCCGCTGCGAATATACCCAACAGTCTGTACGTCTCCAGAGCAGGTAAACTGCTGTCGTAAGGCCTGGTCACATTCGTCGTGCGACTGTCGCGCGATCATGCTAGTAGTAAACTGAAAACATTCCTGAAGTATTCGCGTATGCGTTGTACATGCAAAATTCAGTTGTCACAAAAGGACTATTTTGTCGGCCGTTGGTTCTATCAGCCTGCTTGGAAGTCCTATACAACATCAACTTGAATCGTACGACGACCTACGACGAATGTGTGCCCGCCGTACGTTACTTATTACGATTCTAGCTATGATATGATATGAAATCGGATGCTACACGAACAGATATGCTTTTCTTAGGCAATCCACTGACGCCATCTTGATCAAATTATTAAACTGCATGAAGCATGCCACAAATCAAATCAAAGCACACATGAGATATATATTCAAAATTTTTCAAAACCTTTCTTTCTTCTGGCAGAAAGGCTTTCTTTCTCAAAGGAAATAGAGGCGTCAGTTGTCAAATATAACAAATAGAAATATTGTTTACGAGTTTTATAGTTAGGTGAATCAATTGTAATGACATGTTGACATATCACCGTTTAGCTACATGTATTTAGTATGTTGCCGCCATATTTCCTATATCTACTCATTGTGCTTTTATATAATCAATAATATTATCTAGGATCTGGTATTTAATTAGTCTATTGATTGATATTTTGCTATCATTGTATTAACTATTGAGTGATTTGATATTGATATTCCTGTTTTCTTTCTTCATCTTTTACTTACTATCTGCAATGTTATGATTAGTGTTTGATAAGCTAAAAGGAAGGAGGGATTACATGTAGTATAAACCTTTCAAATTCCACATTTCTTCCTTTCTCCAGTATTATCATTATCCTCGAGCTCACTAAGAAGTTATAAATGTTTTATATGTTTTTATTTCTACGTATACGATATAAACTCGAAAAA